ATGTTGTTTGTATGAAGGCTGTTCTGAACACATCCCCACCCACCACACAGCTTTGACTGGCTCTGTGTGATTTCTTTCCCCTAGCTATTTCAATGGACATCATGCTAGGATAGTTGAAAGCTTCCAGGCAGCTGTGATGATGACTTTGGACCTCATCACATGGAGGGCCTTGATGCATGGAACAGTGGGGGGATCTGTAGAAAAGTGAGGCAAATCATGGAGCAGTGGAGAGAATCTGTTGCTGAGCATCCTGCATCACCCAAAACACCCACTTGCTCATCACACACCTTTCTGGTGTGCTCCAGCACTGTCCCCATGATTTCCAGTCTGAACACATTCAGATTTCCCCCTCCTAGCACACTTGGCCAGCACAGAGCCCTGCCAGAAGTAGTTGTGTATCATGTGATGAGATCTTGTGGGCTCCGTGCCAGCTGCAGAGCAAAGTATTTTAGGACGGGGAATTTTCGCCATATGAGGAGGCCCTTTGAACAACATCTCATATGAAGATTTCCTCCACTACTATGAAGAGTGGCAGCAATGCTGAAATCACTGTATTTGATCAGAGAGACACTATTTTGAAGGGGATAAACTGTAATTGCAAGCATGTTCCATAATTATTTTTTAAAGTATTGTCAAAGGCTTTCACGGTTGGACAATACGGTGTTGTGTGGTTTCCAGGCTGTATGGCCATGTTCTAAAGGCATTTTCTCCTGACATTTTGCTTGCATGTGTGGCTGGCAACTTCAGAGGATCTCTGAAGATGCGAGCCACAGATGCAGGTGAAACATCAGGGGAAAATGCTGCTAAAACAGCCATATAGTCTGGAAACTACACAACACCCCATATTTTTTTAGTCATTCTCATTAGTTTTAGAACAATACAATTTTGTGCACAAATCAAAATTATTATGTGTGGATATTAAATCAAGTGTATTACTGTTTCAGCCACATAAGTGGACAATTTTAGATTTTAGAGCATCTTGGATTTTGGAATTCTGGACAAGGGATCCTTGACTTGTATTAAGTGCATTAGCTTACTTGCCTGAAATAATTTTTGGGGGGCAAAACACACATTACTTCTTTAGCTTCCTCAATTCTTCATTACATTGTTACGGGAAGGAACATTCTGCAGTTTGGCTTTGAAAATGGAAATTCTTTCTAACTCCTTTTTTTTTTTGCATCAAACAGTGTCACTTCTATTTATCCTGCTTCACTATTCACATTCTATATTGCCATTCAGGTCTGAAGACTAGAGTTCTAAAAGCACAATATCTCTTTGTATCACCACATCATTTGACAGATCTGTTTCTTTTTAGATTTCCTCTTCTGACTGTGACCTTTCATTTACTTTCTGTTCATGATTCACTTAGAGCGAAACCTGGGGGATTTTATGTTACAGGAAGTCACAATAATATATTGCATTGCTTATTTTTCTTAGCCAGACATACTCAGCATTTCCTCCAATAAGAGGAAGGCACACACAGAAACGGATTTGCGTGTGATTAAAATAAGAGTGCTGACATTCACGTTTGCACACCCACAGCAGATTCACAGTGCTCATTTGGACTGCTTTTAACTTGCTAGTTGTGTCTTCCAATTCAGGATGTGAATAATTCAGGAAAAATATTCTTTCTCGATAAGATAAGCTATCTATCTTTTTGTCACACTGAAAAAGCCAATTGAAAAATTGTTTGCCAGTTTCCTGTTTATTAGTGCAAGAGTATACTTTCTTTGGTTGGGAAAGATGAATCATGCAATTCATACAAACATTTCTGCAAACCTCATTTCTCCCTTTTCCCCATCCAAGTCAAAAGGATTAATGACAGAGAAGGAAAGTCTGATTTAATATTAAGATTCTGGAAGTCACAAATAAAACATCCCAATACTACATTAACAAAACAGTATTATCCATGCAACAAGGCAGCATTGGGAATAGCGAAAAGGAGTATCCATCTCTCTTGCTATCAACCACTCCACCAGGGTGAGATGCAAGGACAATATAACTTAGATGCCATCAGTGGAGCAGAAGTCGATATCAAGGTGTCTATTAGCCAAAAGGATGAAATTGAGAAACTGATTCACACTTTGGACACATCACTAGAAGACAGAACTCCTTTTTTTAAAAAAAGAGGATAATGTTTGGGAACACAGAAGACAGTAGGAAAAGAAGGGGGCTACACTATAGGTGGAGACATTTATTCAAGGAGGTCATGGCTCTGAATTTGCAAGAACTGATAACAGGTGACTCAGATTGTCTTGTTTTAGGGTTACTATACGTTGAGGTCTGTTTAATGGCATTTAACAAAGCTTATTATAAAAATTGAGTTAAGTCTCCAGGCTTTTGTTTATTAAAGAAACTTTTGAGAAAGATAGCTGGAATCACCTACTTACCACCTTATCACGTTGAGAAATTTCTCAGTCGTAGGACACTACAGCCTCTTTTCAAGCATGGAGAGGCACATGAGTTGAACTACTTCCAGTCATCATGCATAGTCCTCCTTGGTTGAAAAGAGTTAGAAGTGTCCCAAAAGGAGGGAACTCTAGCAATCTAACTCATCACCTTGAGAAATTTTCCCCTGCTAGGACACTTCAACCTCTTTTCAAGCATGAATAGGCACGGAGCTCATCACATGTTCTGGGATTGAAAAGAGGCAGAAATGAAAGGAGGGAACTCTGAACAAGGGCCAGCAATTGTGTGCAGAGCTCCTACCTTTTATCATGCTTTACTCCCATAGTAACAACTGAAAAACAGGTGGGATGGGAACCATCAAAGTTTCCCATCCTGTTTCATTGCCTAACCAGCAGCAGTCTCTTGTATCATTTGGTGTTTGATGGAGAACAATAGGATCCCATGGAAAGAAATTGTTTTAGTCTCAATCACTGTCTTTTGTATCCTGTGGGCTTTGCTGCAGAACAATAGGGTCCCATGGAAAGAAATAGTTTTAACCTGGATCACTGTCTCTTGTATCTTATGGGCTTTGATGCAGAACAATAGGATCCCATGGAAAGAAATGGTTTTAACCTGGATCACTCTCTTTTGTATCATATGGGGTTTGGGGCAGAACAATTTTATCCCATGGAAAGAAATGGTTTTTAACCAGTGTCAGTCTCTTTTAATGTAAGGGGCTTTGGGCAGGGCAAGGGATCTCTTGATTTTCAGCCATGTGATGAATGTAAGATGACTATATTGCCAACTCCTAAGTTTCCACATATGAGTGTGATTGGGAGGCAGAACATGAAACAGGATGTTGATGATACCTTAAAGGGGTGGTCATCCATACTTTTCTCTCCCAATGTGATGAGATCATAGGTACATAACCATCTATGGCATGTTCCCCTGCTGGTCAGAAAGGAGTTATGCTCCTTCCATAAGTGATCTCTGATATGAAAAAGTGGGGTCCTGTCCCTGTCACAAGGTGGAGTGGGAACATCAGCCACAATGCTTACATAGTTCTAAAACTACTGAATATGTAGAGATTGTGAATGCAAACCAGTCATGAATGCATAGCACTAGATTATGCACGTGTAACTGCCATAGTGAACTTTTCTCATTACCTTTTGGGACTACAACTCATAGAATATTTGGTTATCCAAAATGTAACACCTTTAAGCTCTGCAAAAAGTATATGAAAACCCACTGAGTGACTTGGGCTTTTGCCTTCCTCTCAGTCTCAGAGGAAGTTAAAGGCAGACCACCCTTTGAACAAATTTTGCCAAGAAAATTGCGTGTTAAGCCTACCTTAGGGTTGCCATAAGTCAGAAAGGACTTGAAGGCACACCACAACAATCTATCACAATGGGACACATAGCCTTCTAGACATAGTTGGACTACAACTACAAGTGTGGATTAGTTTCTTTCGCACTTTGAATTAACCACCTCATTTCATTGAGAGGGGAAAGTAAGAGTGGCCATATCTTTAAGAGTAAAGAATCACCCTCTTATATCGTCAGCAGTCTCCTTTTATGTCCTGTCTTTCCATCACACTCACCCTTACACATGGAAACTTAATAGCTGTCAATATATTAATCTTAAATTCATCACAAGGTCAGTATTATTTATTTAATCATGAGAAACAACAATATAAAAAAACCCCAAGAGATCCCTTGCCCTGTAAAGCCCCTTGCTTTAAAGGAGAATGACACCAGTTTTAAACCACTTCTTTCCACAGGATCCTATGGTTTTGCATCAAAGCCTATAGGATACAAGACACAGTGATCCATGTTAAAGCCATTTATTTCCATGGGATCACATGGTTCTCCATCAAACCCCATAGGATACAAGAGACTGCTGACGGCTGAGCAATGAAACAGGATGGGTAACTTTTGATGGTTCCCATCCCACCTGTTTTTCAATTGTAAACATGGGAGTAAAGTGTCATCAGAGGTAGGAGCTCTGGGACATTTTCAAAGTTCCCCCCTTTCAGGACATTTCTGTCTCTTTTCAACCTGGAACATGTGATGAGCTCTGTGTCTCTCCATGCTTGAAAAGAGGTCGAAGTGTCCTACCAGGGGGAAATTTCTCAATGTGATAAAGTGGTCAGTTTGTAGCATTTGAAATAAGTTGATGCTGAAGGTGGAAAGTGGGGAGAGCAAAACTGTGGGATGACAAAGGATTAACTGGGTCAGTTGAAGGGCATACATACCTACCTAAAAATGCAAGAGAAATTCAAACATCCCTTCCAAATTTATTTTCATCTGAAAACCAGCTGAAGATGGAATGGTGAAGCCCACCCTGAAAGGGGAAGTTTGCCCTCCCATACCTGCTGCTGTTGCTGACCCATTTTTTTTCTAGGCAGTGGAACGTTGCACTCACACCCAGTGCTATACCTTTGGGCAGACAAGGAAATGATAGCAGTAAATATTTGGATTATCAAATCAAAGCTGTCATCATAAAAATTATAAAAGTGGCGGAATGACCAAAGTGCACAACCACACCCATCTACCACCCTGAGCCTTTAAATTTGGGTTTGCCTCTGGAGTCTGAACACAAGATCTGACAAGATGGATGCAACAGTGAAGCTCCTTTGGGTGACACTGTTCAGTTCTTTGACTTTGCAAGCCATCTCAGGTAATTACTGTGTCTAATTTTCTCTCATTAGATGAGGCTTACTTATCTGAGATCCACATGCAGAATTTAGGGATAGAGAACTTTTGCAAATTTACAAGGTATTACTAGAAATGGAATGTCACACAAATCCTTTTTTTAGTACTTTATCTTTTCAACTATCTAGAAATTATTGCAGTTAAAAGATTAGAAAATGTAGTTTTTCATTTGGGATCAATAAATGGGTCTTTTAAAAAGTTTCTGCACAGTAAAATGAACTCTGTTATTTTGAGACGATTGGGGAATTGTATTACTAGAAAGCTAGTTGAACTACTATAATGTCAGTAATTAAATCTATAGATATCTTCTATTTAGAAATGTATTTAATATGGTAAATGTATTTAATATGGTAAATGTTTTTTAGATCAACTAAAATAATAATAGTTTGCTTTTAAATGCATAGATTGCCATCCTGAACTGTAAGGATAGTAAACTGAAAAATAGTTTTAAATTTAAAATGGGGAAAGGGCTTCTAGTATTGTATTCTTGTTTTCTTTTTAGTGGATATGAGTTAAAATTACTTTTTATTTTATTGGTAGGTTAATTGTTTGTGTTTAACTGATGTGATATTTTATATGGATCTGTTTAATTTTGGTAAGCTGTCTTGAGTGATTATTGCCTGGGGAAATTGTGAAATATAAATGGATAAATGAATGAATATGGGATGGGTGAGACTCTTAATCTGAATTTTTACTTAAATAACTGGAGAGCCAACTAATACTCCAAAATGTTGTTATGCCAGTTCAGATATCGTATTCCTCTTCAAACTTCTGGCTTCCAAACCTCTATTTTGTTCAGGCATAAATTATAATATTTAACTGAATGATAGGGGGAAATAACCTGTGCTTCATAGGGAAAAATACCAACAAAACAGTACATACACAAATAGTGTGTGTTTTTATGTCTGTTTCATATTGTAGTCCAATCGTCATCATCTTTATTTATACCCCTTCCCTTAAATTGGGATGCAAACTGCTTTACAATTGAACACATATACAATACAGTGACTAATGTACAAAAGGATTTGTAGTTTGGTGAGGCACCAACACTCTTTGTCAAAGAAGACTAAAGATCTTGTAAAACTATACCTCCCATGATTCCATAGCATTGAACCATGGCAATTAAAGTGGGGCCAAGCTGCAATAATTCTACAATGTAGATCAGTGGTTCCCAATCTTTGGTCCTCCAGATGTTTTGGACTTCAGCTCCCACAATTCCTAACAGCTGGTAAGATGACTGAGATTTCTGGTAGTTGAAGTCCAAAACAACTGGAGGACCAAAGGTTAGGAACCACTGGTGTAGATGCACACTTATTGAAGTACAAATAGGAATCAATAGCTAGGTACAGATGAATCATAGAATCATAGAAACATAGAGTTGGAAGAGACCTTTGTGTTGCTTCCACCACACTCCAGGGCAAAGAATTCCACTGCTGAACAGCTCTCACAGTTAGGAAGTCCTTCCTCATGTTCAGGTGGAATCTCCTTTCCTGTAGTTTGAAGCCATTGTCCATCCTAGTCTCCAGGGCAGCAGAAAACAAGCTTGCTTCCTCCTGCCTATGGCTTCTTCGCACATATTTATACATGGCAATCATATCTTTTCTCAGCCTTCTCTTCTTCAGGCTAAACATGCCCAGCTCTTTAAGCCACTCATCATGGGGCTTGTTCTCCAGACCCTTGATCATTTTGGTCACCCCCCTCTGGACATATTCCAGCTTGTCAACATCTCCCTTCAATTGTGGTGCCCAGAACTGGACAAAGTATTTCAGGTGTGGTCAGACCAAGGCAGAATAGAGGAGTAACATGACTTCCCTGGATCTAGACACTATACTCCTATTTATGCAGGCCAAAATCCCATTAACTTTTTAAGCTACCACATGACATTGTATAACTTGTTGTCCACAGGCACTCCAGTATCTTTTTCACACGTACTGCTCTCGAGCCATGTGTCCCCCATTCCGTATCTTTGCATTTCATTTTTTTCTGCCTAAGTGGAATATCTTGCATTTGTCCCTGTTGAACTTCATTTTGTTAGTTTTGGCCCATCTCTCTAATTTGTTAAGATTGTTTTGAATTCTGCTCCTGTCTTCTGGAGTAGTCTTGAGGTAGTCAAAGATTTTGAATTATTTAAGGAAAGAATTAAACAATGATTTGGCATAACCCTAGAACATCACAGAACAAAATGTAGGCAATGGGAAATGTATAACCATCTGGGCTGAAGGTTACACCAATTGTGGGAAAGCTGGATTGGTGTATCTAAGACAGAAGCTAGGCAGGATGTAATAAACTTAATGGGGCTGGAAATAATTTACAGCACACTCCTATAAGATTATAGGTGGGGGCACATACAAATAGCCAAAACAGTGGCAAAGGTAACTGAAGAAATGGATTATCTGGTGAAAGAAAGAAAAGACATTTTATCTCAGAACTAGAATTGTACATTTTACAATGATTTCAGTGTGGTGACATGGAGTTCCTGAGTCCTAAGAAAATAAACCTTGGCTATATCTGCACTGTTTGACAGCACTTTATTTGCTATGGTTCAATGCTATGGAATCATAGGAGTTGTTTTTTTTTTGTTTGTTTGTTTTTTGCAAGATCTATTGCCTTCTCTGCCAAAGAGTGCTGGTACCTTGCCAAACCACAACTCCCACACAAACGGACTTTGTTATGTCAGTTGCTCTTTCTGCAATATCTGTATAATTTTATATAGGTTATACATAGGAATTGCAACTTTATTATTGGGCAAGTAGCAATGGATGGGATTAGCTATTTCCTAAACCAGTATTTCTCAACCTTCCTAATGCCACAGCACTTTAATACAGTTCCTCATGTTGTGGTGACCCCACACCATAAAATTATTTTTGTTGCTACTTCATAATTGTATTTTTGCTACTGTTATGAATCATAATGTAAATATCTGATATGCAGGATGTATTTTCATGCACTTGACCAAATTTGGTACACATACCCAATATGCCTAAATTTGAATACTGGTGAAGCTGGGGGGTTGATTTTGTCATTTGGGAGTTGTAGTTGCTGGGATGTATAGTTCACCTACAATTAAAGAGCATTCTGAACTCCACCAATGATGGAATTGAACCAATCTTGGCACTCAGAACTCTCACGATCAACAGAAAATACTGTTGAGAAAAGTGTTTGATGGACACTGACCTTGAGTTCTGGAATTGTAGTTCACCTACATCCAGAGAGCAGGAAGAGGGCTTTTGGTGGGAGGATTCGCCATCTGCTTCCAAAAAGGAAGAGAAGGACAGGTGGAGAAATCTCCATCCTTCTCTGCCAAAGGGGTTCCAAAGACCATCAGAAATATGTATTTTCTGATGGTGTTTGGCGACCCCTCTGAAACTCCCCAGGTTGAAAAGCACTGTTCTAAACCCTTTGAGTGGAATGGGTATATGTCAAAGTGAGAATACAAGGGTGAAAGGCTGCCTATGTTCATTTGAAAGCTAACATAGTCTTTTAAAAATAGTATATATACTATTGGCAAAGTGTGTGTGATGCTAACCTATATAGTTTTAGCATGCAACATGCTATGCTTGAAACAGCAATTGCATGGATTATTAATACAGTGTATGACTAAATGCTATAAGATAATACTCAAAGTGTAAGAAGGTGTAAGTATTTTATTTCCTATCCAAATACTAACCAAGGCTGATTCTACATAGCCTCCAAGATCAGATGAGATTTGGTGCCATTATCATCATCATCATCATCATCATCATCATCATCATCATCATCATCATCATATTTATACCCTGCCTTTCTCCCCATGGGAAATCAAGGCGGCTAACAATCCCACACTTGACAAGTTTAAAAAGTGCAATAGCTTTACTAAAGGTTTTCCTTTGACATTAAGTCCAGTTGTGTCCAACTCTGGGGGTTGGTGCTCATCTCCATTTCTAAGCTGAAGAGCCAGTGTTGTCCATAGACACCTCCAAAGTCATGTGGTCGGCATGACCGCATGGAGCACTGTTACCTTCCCATCAGAGAGGTACCAATTGATCTACTCACATTTGCATATTTTTGAACTGCTAGATTGGCAGAAAGTGGGGCTGACAGAGGGAGCTGACGGCGTTCTCTGGATTCGAACCTGCAACCTTTTTCGTCAACAAGTTCAGCAGCCCAGAGGTTTAACCCACTGTGCCACCGGGGGTTCCTAAAAAGTGCAATACAAAAGTTCAAAAACAATTAAATATTAACAGTGTGCCTTTCGGGAGTTTAGGCTGTTGATTCTTCAAACTTCTGAAGTTTTGCCACAAGTGCTTTCAATGGTCCTGAGTGTGCATAAGATTTTAGAAATATTAATGTGGGTGTTTAATAATAGCACAATCTTATATATAGGTACTTGGAATTTTCTACTCTCAGGTGGGCAGCCTTAGGTCAAAAATCAGTTGCTACTCTTACTAGGGTAGATCTGCTAAATAAATAAAATATATGTAACTCTATCTAACTATCTATCTTACCATTCAGAAATGAATTTGGTCGATGCTGTTTTGGTCTGAGAACTAAATTTAGGCTATAGTTTGTTGGTAAAAAATTATAACCATTACGTACTAGAAAATTAGAGAATGCTTATTTTATATCATCATTGCATAGTTCTAAGGCAAAGAAAGAAATAGCCTGTATTTTATTAAATTTTTATTAAACTTTATTTGTACCCCGCTAGCATCTCCAGAAGGATTCGATGCGGCTTACACAGGCCGCGGCCTCAACACACAACATAACAATACAATCTAAGCAAATCAAACAGTTAAAAACAGAATAAAGCAAAATGAACAACAGGCAAAAACAATACACTAAAACACAATAAAACTGGGCCAGGCCAGAGTAATGGGTACAAGAATTAAAAGTGCTGATGTGACAGGAGGTGTATATGAGGCTTCTAGGGCAAGTGCGATGTGCAGCAATCATTGGTTCTGATAAAGTGCTTATGGGACTTGGTAGTGGAGATTTCCTAATCTGGGAAGGCGCATTGGAAAAGCCAGGTCTTCAGGTTCTTTCTGAAGACTGCCAATGTAGGGGCCTGTCTAAGGTCTTTGGGGAGGGTGTTCCAGAGACAGGGGGCCACCACGGAAAAGGCCCTGCCCCGCATCCCCACCAAGCGCGCTTGCGACGTGGGTGGGATCACAAGCAGGGCCTCTCCAGATGACCGAAGTGAACGTGTGGGTTCGTAGATGGAAATGCGGTCACGCAGGTAGGCTGGTCCCAAACCATTCAGGGCTTTGTAGGTAAGCACCTGCACCTTAAATTGGGCTCGGAATATAAACGGCAGCCAGTGGAGCTCCTTGAACAGGAGGGTTGACCTCTCTCTGTAAGGGGCCCCAGTTAGCATCCTGGCTGCTGATCATTGGACCAGTTGGAACTTCCAAGCCGTCTTCAAGGGCAGCCCCACTTAGAGCACATTGCAGTAGTCCAATCTGGAGGTGACCAAGTCATTACTAAAATTCAGTGGCAGGCATCCTATTTAAAATTCCTCTTCCTCCATCATCACCCTGCTTCCCTATCCCCCAAGACTGTACCGTAAAACAGCTTACATTTTTTTAAAAATGGGTTCTCAGTTATGGTTAGTAATGACCAGTTGTGACTAGCAAAACCCTAGGAAAGTTACAAAGTACTTTCAATACTTGAATGAATTGATTTTAATATACTGTTTCCACTTCATTACAGAGAATACTTCTGACCTTCCTTTCTGGATTTCAACAACCACTACCACAACAACCACAACAACTCCAGAAACTTGTGAGAATTTTCTTTTTCTCCTTTTCCTTTTTCTAATTTTCATGGGTTGTAGGCATGTGTAACCATGGCTCTAAATGGTTCTAAAGTACTTACAAAACTAAAGTTCTGGTGGTGAAAACTAGGGGACGCTGGTGCTTTGCTTCTACAGTGTTGCTAAAGTTCTGGTGGTGAAACTTTCAGAACTCTAACACAACTTTCAAAATTTCATTATAAATGGCAGTTCCTAATAGGTTCTGTCATAAAAATCACCAATAATGAAATAATAATGAAATTTTGAAAGTTTTGTTAGAGTTCTGAAATTTTCACCACCAGAACTTTAGCAACATTGTAGAAGCAAAGCACCAGCACCCCCTAGTTTTCACCACCAGAACTTTAGAACCATGGTTGCACATGCCTAATGTGTAGAAGCTCCAAAGTAGTCATTCTTAACCCTGGGCTGGACAGATGTTTTGGGGTTTCACTGCCCGAAGCTCTGGTGATTACTTGCTATGTTGCGTAAGTCTTCAAGAAACTGAAATACAAAATATTTGAAGACCTCTATGCTGAGGATCACAGTTTTAAGGTGATAGATGACAGACATGCATTCATGCTATGACATAAATTTAATGCACATAGTTTATTCTAAGGTACACATTCGCACACATGGTAAGGCCTTATGAGAGTAGCATATCCCTATCAGAGTAATGGGTTGCATAAGCATTAGCTTCCTGGTCTCCCTGAAAAGGTCCACCACAGAACTTATAAGGGCTGTGGTTGGCCTTGCATTCCTTATCTTTCTCGCCTTTCCTTCAGTTTCTGAGTATCCCACCTGAAATTACTGTTGTTCTTTTAAAAGTGTGAGGATTACATTCCCCATAATAAGAAATTAATCCTTGTATTTTACTCCAGTTCCATAAAACGCAATCACTCCATTAAAAACAATTATCCTTTTGTATGGTTGTTGTCAAAACATTTTCCTTATTGTGGCTATTGTAACTCACTGTTTGTATCACTTAACCTGGTAGATCTGGAACAAGTGGTAAACTGAATAAAGATCCTCCTTGCTCCCACTCCAATTCTCCAGCTTAACAGCAATGTACAGAACAGGAAAAAAAACTGAAGGGAAAAATGATTTCATGCATTTCATTTCATAAAAATGTATTGTCATTGGATGATAGCGCATATTTATAATTTTTGCCAACCTTGTGAATCTATTGAGAAATTGCTACTTGTTACATTAAGCTGCACGGATTCATTAGGAATGTCTATTGAATGAAGTTGACATTGTACTATCA